CTGCTCTGTCTCTCTCTCTCTCAAAAACAAATAAAACATTAACATTTTTTTTTTTTAAATAAGAAGTGGGGCCCCTGGGTGGCTCAGTCAGCTGAGTGTCCGACTTCAGCTCAGGTCATGATCTCACGGTCTGTGAGTTTGAGGCCCGTGTTGGGCTCTGTGCTGACAGCTCTGAGCCCAGAGCCTGTTTCGGATTCTGTGTCTCTCCCTCTGACCCTCCCCCATTCGTGCTCTGTCTCTCTCTGTCTCAAAAATAAATAAACATTAAAAAAAAAATAATAATAAAATAAAATAAATAAGAAGAAAAGCACCACCAAGCAGTGATGGGGGAGCCCCCATCCTGGTGGCATGCCCAGCAAGCTGGGTTGCTGCAGCTGAGTCAGGTTACTCCTCTTGGCCTCAGTGTCCTCATGAAATGGACCACGAGGCACCCAGCTCAGCAGTCTGAACATTCCAGAAGCCCCTGCAACTCCAAGAGCACCCTGGCCGCTGCAAGCCCAGTTCTCCACAAACGCCAGCTGCTACCCCTTTTCCCTCTGGACGCGCTCGACGGTGAACGAGGCGGGCTGGCCGAGACGAGGGCCGGGGAGCTGGGCACCGCCTGGGCCAGGCGGCCTCGAGCCTGACGCCCGCCGCCCGCCCGGGGGTCTTTCCTTGGCTTCTGCCACTCCTTTGTTTTCCTTCAGGAAACGCCATCGGTCGTGGGCGACAGGAAGGGAGGGGAAACTGGCAGAGCAGAAGTCGGTCGCCCTGCAGCTGGCACCTCGGTCGGAGTTCCTCTGGAAAAACTCCACCCGGGCCTCCCAGAACCACAGGAAAGGTGGCGTTTTCCACATGTTGACAGAGCGGCGGGGCTCTGCCCGAGGAGAGCAAAGTCGGGGAGAGTGAACGGTGAAGCCAGGAACAGGGTGTCAAGTCCAGAAACTGACTTCTTCTCTGCTGAAGGTTCTGGTCGATGGAAAGATGACCTCTGAGCGGGAACGCATTCTGAGCAGCACAGCCAGAGGGAGGCTTGCGTTTCTTGACAAGATGGAGAGGCGGACTTCCACACCAAAGCAGCAACCCTGTACCCGGCGTGCACGGAGAGAGGGCCCGGGGGGGCTCCACCTGTCACCCCTGTGCCAAGCCCAACAATGAATCACCTCGAAGCCACACAGAAAGGAAACACGAGGGAGGCCCCACCTCGGAGGCTGAAAGAGACCAGTGTGAACAAAATCCTCTGACGTGGGGACCCCCCACCCCAAATCCACCTGCATTAACACCAGGGCACAGCCCGGGGTGTGGGACCACACGGTGACTGCTGGACAGGTGGACGAGGAAGGGGGACGCAGAACACAGAGCGTGTTTCTGCAGACCTAACGACATGGCTGAGCGTTTCGCCACCACCGGTTACAGTTTCTCCATCGTCCCGTTGGACGGCATACGTGGAACAAACCACGGAGGAGGCGCGTCCGAACTCTGACATCACCAGGTGATGGAGGACAGCGGCCTGACCCCCAGGAGCCTGCGAGATGGAAAGGGGACACCTGGGGACAGTTGGAAAGGCTAGCTGCGACCTCGCATACCACACTGACATACCTTAGCAGAGAAAAGAAGGAAGGAAAATCACTTACACTTTAAGAAAAAGAGCCTCTTTTGTGAGGCTCAAATGATATATTAATTTTAAGTGCCGAGCACAGTATCTAGTATGTGGGGGCTCAATAAATGGTGGTTTTTATCAGTTTATTATTAATAACAACTGGATCATAACCTAAAAAAACAGATGAGAGCATCTTCAACTTCACTCATAAATAAATACAAATTTAAGCAAAAATCTGCTGTTGCCTTTCACCCATAAGTCATCACGGGTCAGTCCGGTGATACAGGGCATAGGGAAAGGGGTGCCCTCCTGACCGCTGGGGCAAATGCTAATTGCTACCACCTCCCTCAAAATGGTAGACCAGAAAACGCTGCATGGCTGGGACCCCTCCTCTAAGACTCTATCACACGTTTACCCACAGGGAGACCCAAAGGTTGCCACGGCAACAGTCGACACAATGATAACAAAGGACCAGGAACCACTCTGCCTCCATCAAGAAGGAAGTGATTTCTCATAAGTAAGGAAATTACACTCCAGCCAAGGACAAAACCATGTTTGTTACAGAAACGTCTGGCACACAGCATCATGTGTGCTGACAGGGAGGGAACTGCTCTGAGACGTGCTGTTCAGTGAACAAGCACAACGAATTGCGTGTTATCCTGTTGCCCGGCTCACGTCCGCCCAGCCCGAGTAACCATCGCGAGTCAACACGGGTTACTTCGTTAACGGTGGACCTCTGTCCCACCACAAAATTGGGCAGGCGCCACGGCGATCTCGTTTCTCCCAGGGACACGGAAGGTGCTGGAATACAAAGGCCTCAAGCACAAGGTCCAAGTGCTCCAGAGAAGTTGTCTGTGCAGACGGACTTGAGCATCCACGGAAGCAAGGCCCCAGACGGTCGTGTCTCCATCAACACCCAGCACCTGGTGCGGTGCCTGGTACCTCGAGGGTCCAATCCAACCTCACGAGGACCTTTCCACACCACAAAACATGCTCCGACTGCCTCGGGATGTTCAAGGAAAGAGCACCAGAGGCCAAAATGATCTGGAAGAAAACCCACAAAAATATGAACGAATCTCACCTGTTTCTTCTGGTTTGATCCACTGAATAAATCTGCTTTCTCAGCCAACTGGGAAGAGAGTTGAGACAGAGGGAGAGACAGAGAATTAGTACACAAACAAAACTAGTTCTATGGAATGGGGGCAAAGGAAACTGGAAACAAGAGGAATTTACCAATTTGCTAACTCGGGCAGCTTGGGAAGAAGCAGGTTTCTCCTTGGGGCTGACACGCCCTAGTTAGGAGCCAAGAGGCCCCTCCTAGTGGAGCCTAGAGGCCGGCATTCCTTAAACCGACGATCCTCTCTGATGACGTTCATTAATCCCCCCAAAAAGCTGTTAAGAAAAATGGCGGGAATCCGAGGGCTTTGACCGAGGGGACGAGAATTCACACACAATCCCACGCAGACGTCCGTGACGCTGACTCCCGGGCAAGGCAGTCCTGAGCCTCCCCAACCCAGGAGGCAGTGGCAGTTGCGAAATGCGGTACCCTGCATCTGACTGCGATTTGGCGAGCTGGTTTAATCCCTTCCTGATCCTGTAAGAAGGAGGCCCTCAATCCTCCCCTGGGACACAACGCCAACGTGTGTTTCTAGCTCGGCTTCAATGTACTCCTCACCCCACCAGGCCAAGCAAGGCTTAGCACCAAGAGAGGCTCTCGGACGAGAAGGTGGGGAGCCCACAGCGCCTACTGGGAGCTGCTGCACAGAGGACACTCACGGAGCCTCCAAGATGAAACGCCCCACTCTTCTTTTCTTCACTCACGTTGGCTCAAGGGAAAAGAATAAATTAACGTGCAAATACAGAGATAAACAAGCAAAAGTCAATACCTCTCAATAATGGTGGGCGTAGACGCACTCATCGCTTCCTGGTGTAAGATTTTCAAGCCAGAGAGCCACTTAGTCGCGTCTTCTCTAGAATCAGCTGGACAGGTGAATAGGAAGGCAAATGCTGTCACTCGCTGGGAAACCCTCTACAGACAGACCGAGCCCCACACAGCCCACGGGGACGGGAGAAGCCAGTGCTGGTTTCTAGTTTTGCACGAGGGCACGGAAAAGGCATCTCCTTCACACCTTCGTGGCTCTACGACCTGCCTTCTGTCCAAGATGAGGCCACGTGCCAGCGATGACCCTTCTACAGCAGGGGTGACAAGTGGGACACGAGTTTTCCCCCCACGAGTTTTAGCTTTTACTCCTATGCTAACGAATAAAGTGCAGGGTCTAGGATTATTCACACCCCAATCCAGAGCAGCCCTCAGCATTTCCCGTTTCCAGATAAGGTCAGGGAGAAGGCAAGGGCTTGGCATCACTGAGGGACCACAAGTCCCTCGGCACCGCTTGAGGGCTGTGTGACATTCGGCTGGTTCCTCAGCCTCTCTGTGCCTCATTTCCTCATCAGTAAAATGGAGCTAGCAAGGCAAACGCCTCTGAGTTATGACACATGCCTTAAGGACCAGCTACCCTGTTCACGTGGACGAGAGCACGCTGAGGCGGCTGCTCTCACCCTTCCCGTGCGCAGGAAGAGACTAGGAAGCTCAGAGGGCAGAGAGACCCGTCCCAGAGCCAGTAAGCGTGAAGCTGGGATCTGAATCCAGGTGTCACTCCCTCTCTACTGGACTGGAACTGGAGAGCTCCGGAAGAGAGACCCCAGAGTGGAACAGACACCAAAGCTGGCACCCTGGACTCACGGTCTCCCTGCCCAGAACAACCAGACCTCAGCCTGCAGCAGAGCAAAGTGGACATGACACTGGAAGTTCACGGGCCCAGGCCCCTCTCTGCTGCATCATCTCTGCACCAACCACACGCCAACCGTCAGACGTCCGCCCCCCATCTCCCACATCCAGCTTGCTATTTCCCTCCTTCAGCTCCTCACACACGCACCACCCTCCCCCCGGACTGGCCTCCCTCTTTCCTCCCAACTCCTACGTATGCCTCAAAACCCAGTTTAAAAGGGCCCTCCTCCTAGGGGCGCCTGGGTGGCTCAGTCGGTTAAGCGTCCGACTTCGGCTCAGGTCACGATCTCAAGGTCCGTGAGTTCAAGCCCTGCGTCGGGCTCTGGGCTGATGATGGCCCGGAGCCTGGAGCCTGCTTCCGATTCTGTGTCTCCCTCTCTCTCTGACCCTCCCCCATTCATGCTCTGCCTCTCTCTGTCTCAAAAATAAATAAACGTTAAAAAAAAAAAAAAGGGCCCTCCTCTGCAAAGCCTTTCCTGGAAGTGGGCCCTCCGTGCCGCTACAGCACACTGTATGGTGATCGGCCTCTAGCTCTCATCACAGTGCACTGTGAGCCCCCGTCCGCAAGGCAGCAACTGGGTCCCATTCATCTCCACGGCCCCGGGGACATTTAGGTCAGTCCAGTGCACAGTGGACGCTCAGAGGTGCGTGACAGAGAGAGCAAATCAACGAGAGCTGCTTTGCCCTCGTTTACATGTCCATGCTCAGGTTTCGTCTTCTCCTCGCCTTGGTCTACCTTTAGTGGGATTTACTTTCTCTCTCATCAGTCGTGGTTGCACACACAGCTCTAAGTCAGTAAGTCCCGGGGCTGGGCCTGAAGGGGGGACAAGCTTCTGCCTCTGAGTGAAGTGCTGAGCTTTTCCAAAGCTTATCTTCTGGCCTCACAGAGGCTCTTTTGGCTTTTCGGTGGATTCAGAGGGATGGCTGGAAATCTCACCTCCAGATCATGTGTGAGTGTACGTGTGCATGCACGTGTGTGTGTGTACGTGTGCATGCACGTGTGTGTATATGTGTGTGTGCACACATATGTGTGAGATATAAGATTTCAGGATCCTTCCTCCAGATCAGCTAAGCTGAGTACACAGTGTAGACCAGGCTCTGTTGGATGAAAACTAGAACCTGCCTTCAGCAATCTGCATGAGCCAAGCAGACCCTTAACAGACGCTTACAACATCCCATTGGGGCAGACGCGATCATTCTCCGTTTCACAGCTGAGCCAACTGCAGCTCAGAGAGGTCGAGCAGCGTGCCCAAAGGCACACAGCTAGAAAGAGGCAGGGGAGAATTCAAAACCCGATGTCCCTGGAAGACACATGATGGCATTCTGCTGCTAGAGGACGTCCCGGGGAGGAAGCCAGGCACAGTCAGGGAGGAAAGCACACGGACGTGCACTCACCTGCCAAACTGAGAGTGCTCAGGACGAACTGGGTGCCGTACAAGATGGTGAAACAGCAGTCTTCCTTCTGGCGGGCTGCCTTCGCGCGCTCAAAATCCTTGGAGTTCTTCCCGGGGCGGATTTCCTTGATTTCCATGATATCCACTGGAAGACAATTGAGAGGAGCCCATGAGAAGCTGGAGTTCACTCCGCCTGGGGACGCAGCCCGCGCCTGCACCCCGCTCACGCACAGCCCAGCCCCCTCATCCCTGGCCTGGAGACAGGCGGTCCCGGCCCCTCAGCCCTGCCTGGACGGCAGGATTACATTGCAAGCAAGTAAAAACGTGGCTGGTTGAAGCTACTAAGTACTGGGACAGTTGTTGTAGACCAAGAGACGCGGAAATAAGAGGAAATCCACTCTCCCTATAATCCCTGCTGCTGCTGAACTCCAACCCACTCCTGGACAAATTGGGCCAGGATGGCCACCTGGCCCAGGGGTGACCCATCCCCCCCACGGATGGCCATCTGACCCAGCGGTGACCTTTCCCTTC